CAAAAACGTGCAGGAAGAAGAAAGAGGTGAAACAATGTGGGTTTCAAGATCCATAGGCCCAATTGAAGATGAAGAAAACAGGCCTGCTGGAGTTTCTTCTCAAATAAGCCCAACTGGTTTGACAAGCCCATTGGAAACTAATGAAATATTGAGCTCATCTGCTGAAACATCTGTCACGACACCAGAGGTATCATCGTCTTCTTCCTCCGATTCTCAGTCACCAGGATCGTCGCCATCGTCACCTGAAAAATCTCCGGCGACCACACCATCGTCTTCACCAAATCGGAATGCTCAAGTCACGGGAAACGAACCACAACCTCCGCCGGTCGTTCCTCTCCGTCGTGGTGAACGGGTTCGAGCTCCGCCAGTGGCTCTTAATGATTATGTCACGAACTCAGCTCAAACACGGATATTGGGTAATAGCAAATCTCTCTATCCAATTGACAAATATGTTAGTTGTGCTCGTTTTTCAGCCACACATCGAGCGTTTTTGGTAGCCATCAGCAAAGATGCTGAGCCAAAGACGTATAAGCAAGCGATTCGAAGTAAAGTTTGGACAAATGCTATGGGATCAGAAATTGGTTCTTTAGAGGAGAACAATACGTGGACAATTGAGGATCTACCTCCGGGAAAGACAGCGATTGGTTCAAAATGGGTGTACAAGATAAAATACAACTCTGATGGGTCCATTGAACGCTACAAAGCACGTTTGGTAGCTCTCGGCAACAAACAAATCGAAGGAGTGGATTATGGTGACACATTTGCTCCTGTAGCAAGAATGCAAACAGTTCGTATGTTTCTGGAAGTGGCAGCAGGAAACAATTGGCCTGTGCACCAAATGGATGTGCACAATGCCTTTCTCCACGGCGATCTTACCGAGGAAGTCTACATGAAACCACCGCCAGGTTATTTTACAAGTGATGAGAACAAAGTGTGTCGTCTCAGAAAATCATTGTACGGGTTGAAGCAAGCGCCAAGGTGCTGGTTTGCGAAGTTAACGACTGCGTTGCGTGAGTATGGTTTTGTACAATCTCTCTCAGATTACTCGCTATTTGGTTTTGACAAAGGTGGGATTCACATCAACATTCTCATTTATGTTGACAACATGATCGTGACAAGTAATTCAGATGAAGCACTCACTGGTTTCAAAGGTTATTTGGCCTCTTGCTTTAAGATGAAGGACCTCGGACCGCTCAAATATTTTCTGGGTATAAAGGTTTCTCGAAGCTCCAAAGGATTTTATTTAAGCCAAAGAAAGTATGCTTTGGAGATTGTTTCTGATGCTGGTCTTCTGGGATCCAAACCAGCAACATTTCCTCTAGAACAGAATCACAAATTGGCCTTGTCTACCTCACCTTTGTTAACCGATCCTGAACCTTATCGTCGAATGGTTGGTCGTTTAATCTATTTGGGAGCAACAAGACCTGATTTGGCTTTCTGCGTTCATGTACTAGCACAGTTTATGCAAGCTCCACGCGAAGATCACTGGGAAGCTGCGTTGCGAGTTGTACGATATTTGAAAGGAAATCCCGGCCAAGGTATACTCTTGAAAGCAGAGAAAAATTTTCAGATAACGGGCTGGTGTGATGCTGACTATAACAGCTGTCCACTCACCCGACGGTCTGTCACTGGATTTTTTGTACAACTTGGCGATTCACCGGTGTCTTGGAAAACACGGAAACAAGACACTGTTAGTATGTCTTCCTCGGAAGCGGAATATCGAGCAATGGCGTTCATCACAAAAGAGCTTATGTGGTTGAAACGAGTTCTTCTCGATCTTGGCGTCAAACATACACAGCCGATGCGTCTTTACTGCGACAACAAGTCAGCCATATACATTGCCACGAATCCTGTCTTCCATGAACGTACGAAACACATCGAAAATGACTGCCACTTTGTTCGTGAAAAGATACAGTTGGGTACTCTACAGCTTCAACATGTTTCAAGTGGTGCTCAGCTAGCGGATATATTCACCAAACCACTTGGAAGAAGATCGTTTGAAGATTTTTGTACCAAACTGGGCATTTTGAATCTTCATGCTCCAGTTTGAGGGAGGGTATTGGGATATGATATCAGTTATCTTCGGAAATCATATCCCGTATGTTTAGCACCTAGAATTATTAGTTTCCATATTCTTCTCTGTAATTATTTGATCGCTTAGGTTTGGGGATCACACCTCTGTGATATATATATGTAATCAAACCTCAAGTAAATATACTGAATCATTCAGCCTCCATTGACGTCTCTGTTATTTCAACCAGAATAGCTCAAAATGCCATCAGGGAGATTCAGTGTGTAGATGGCTCCATTGTTACTAAACAGGAAGATATCAAAACAGAGGCAGTGAGATTTTTTAAGGAGTTTTTAACCCACCAACCAGTCGACTATGTGGAAACGTCTGATCACCTCAAACAGATTCTGGATTTTCGTTGCTTAGAGTCTGCTCAAGCGGGTTTAGTTCAGGAGGTAACTGAGGAAGAGGTCCGCAATGTTTTGTTCAAAATGCTGGGGAACAAAGCACCAGGTCCGGATGGGTTCACAGTTGAGTTTTTCAAACAGACATGGGCAATTCTAGGAAGCGATTTCGTTACGGCTATCCAATCTTTTTTCCTGAAAGGTTTCTTACCTAAAGGAGTCAATACAACGATTCTTGCTCTCATACCTAAGAAGATTGAAGCTAAAGAAATGAAAGACTATAGACCTATCTCTTGTTGTAACGTCATGTACAAGGTAATATCCAAAATTTTAGCGAAAAGGCTAAAGAGGATTTTACCGACATCGATATCCCCAAATCAATCTACATTCATTCAAGATAGGCTCATGTTGGAAAATCAGTTACTGGCCTCTGAAATAGTCAAGGATTACCACAAAGATTCAGTCTCCGCTCGTTGTGCTCTAAAGATCGATATCTCCAAAGCTTTTGACTCAGTTCAGTGGTCATTTCTGGTTAACATTCTCAAAGCTTTCAATATCCCAGAAACTTTCATTCACTGGATTGAACTTTGTATTGGGACTGCTTCATTCTCTGTACAGGTTAATGGGGAGTTAGCCGGATTTTTTTGAAGCAACAGGGGACTAAGACAAGGTTGTTCTTTATCGCCCTATCTATTTGTAATCTGCATGAACGTTTTATCGCGGATGCTAGACAAAGCAGTTGTAGATAAAAAAATAGGATATCATCCTAGATGTAAAAACATGAGCCTTACTCACTTGTGTTTTGCGGATGACATTCTAGTTTTCTCCGATGGGAGTTCTCGGTCTGTTGCTGGTATTTTGAGGATATTTGATCAGTTTGCAACTATTTCGGGTTTAAAAATTAGCTTGGAGAAATCAACCTTGTTTATGGCTGGGGTCATTCCTCAGCTTCGCGAAATCATTTTGAGTCAATTTCCTTTGGAAGAAGGCTCACTCTCGGTTCGATATCTTGGTCTCCCTCTCCTCACCAGAAGTATGACGAGAGCTGACTACCTTCCCTTACTTGAACGAATCAGAACACGCATCACTTCTTGGACTGGACGGTTTTTGTCATTCGCAGGCCGTCTCCAACTGATAAAATCTGTCCTTTCAAGCCTTACCAACTTCTGGCTATCCGCTTTCAGACTCCCGAGTAAGTGCATAAAAGAAATTGAAAGTATGTTCTCTGCTTTTTTGTGGTCATGTCCTGACTTAAAACCGAAGAAGGCAAAGGTTGCTTGGAGAGACGTTTGTAAACCAATCAAAGAAGGTGGACTAGGCTTAAGAATTCTGTCGGAAACTAATACGGTTAGCATTTTAAAGCTCATATGGAGATTGGTATCAGCCTGGGATTCTTTATGGGTTAATTGGGTTCGTAAGAATCTGATTCGAAATGGGAACTTCTGGTCAATTCGTGGGAATACCTCATCGGGTTCTTGGATGTGGAGGAAAATATTAAAATACAGAGACAAGGCGAGACCTTTACATAAAATGGAGGTTAAGTCGGGTTATGATACTTCTTTTTGGCATGATGTTTGGTGTCCCCTTGGTTGTTTGTATGGTATTCTAGGTCCCCGTGGAAGCATTGATTTGGGCATAGCTCCTCAATCCTCTGTTGCCAACGCCCTTGCCACTCATCGTCGGAGACGACATCGGTTTCAAATCTTGAATACGATTGAGGATGAGCTTGATTCTCTCCGAAACAGAGCATCTCCAATTGGTAAAGATATCCATCTTTGGAAACGAAAGAATGACTCCTACAAGTGTAAATTCTCCTCACAGGAAACTTGGCACTTGATTCGGGAACATTATCCAGTTTGTGATTGGTACAAGGTAGTTTGGTTTCCTTACTCAACTCCCAAGTATGCTTTCATCACTTGGCTAGCCTTTCAAAACCGTCTAGCTACAGGGGACAGATTATTGAGATGGAACGCGGATGCGAATGGCACTTGTGTTCTTTGCGGGGACGGAGTCGAGACAAGGAACCATTTATTCTTTTCTTACTCTTACTTCTCCCAGGTTTGGACAGCTTTAACTAGAGGTGTTATTGCTCATAATTTCTCGACAAGCTGGGTGTCTATCCTACCCATCATAATGGCTTCATTCACATCACGATATCAATCGTTTGTGATAAGGTATGTGTTTCAGCTCACAATACATAGCATTTGGCGAGAGCGCAATGGTCGACGTCATGGTGACACCCCCATACCGGCTACGAAGTTAATGTCTATAATCGATAAGAGCGTCCAAAATCGTCTCAGCACTATGGCTACTTCGGGTTCTTCCAACTACGAAGGCATTCTCCGATTGTGGTTTCACACTCGCGGTCTCTAGTCTCGGTCCAGTTTCTTAAAACTCTCAAAGTGTTGCTCAAAATATTTTTGCTCACTACGTTGCATTTATTGTAAAACAGTCTTTTTTTGGTGAATATAATTTTACATTCATACAAAAAAAAAAAAAAATCATATGTATAATATACCATATATAGTGGAAGGTTTTTTCTTGTAGAATTATAAATATATGTATATATATAATGTTTCTATTACCAAAAGCTAATTTCCAAAAGATTATGCTTCCAACTTTGTCCCATTCGCCTTCGAGCAGATCACATCCCTGGATGTAGCGAGTGGCTGAGACCACATTTTGTGATCTTCTGGCGAACAAGTAAACCTTATCAGCCGTAGTTTTGATCTCCACATCTGCCTCAACCTCCTCCTCGACCATTCTTACTCTCGTTGTTTGTTTTCTTTACATCACCTACAGATGATAGTTCGTAGCTCCTTTTATAAAGAGGAAGGAATGGAAAATAACAATAAATGACGAGTGGATTTTATTTCGAGAGTGATTCAACCATTAATGACTCAACCATTGAACAATATTCAATTATTTGTTACCTAATCAAGTAATGAGGGTACACATTTTCCTTCCTTTGGAATTTTGTAATTATCATATTTTTATCTCATAGCTGAAGCTGAGACAAATGAAAATCACGATGTATATATATATATAGATTATATATATATATATATATATATATTAATTATAAGAATATTGTGTTGAAATTTCAAAAATACACAATAATAATATCAATACAATAAAAACAATAAAAATCTCTCCAGGCCTGACACCTCAACATTTTGGGCTGTTCTCAAATTTACACCTCATTAAAATCGTTATCCAATAAGAACATTTCGATTAATACAACTCAGATTTTCTAGCTAATAAAAATCTCTGTTCTAAAAAGCGGTCTAGGCGGTCGCCTAGGCCCCGACTAGGCGCTAGGCTCTCATTCGACGCCTAGATAACCGCCTTGACCGCCTAAAATTACATAGATCTTGTTTAATGTATTTTTTCAATTTCAATTAGAGTTTTATTTATATATATATATATATAGTTATAAATATTCATATATTGTTTAATATAAATATAAATAAATATTTTATCTAGTTTTTGTTTATAATTTCATAATTTTTAGTTTTATATTAATATTTTATATAACTTTTATATATAATATCATATTTATAATGTATTATGTTATAAACGTCTAAACCGCCTAAAAAATCGCCTAGGTCCCGATTAGGCGTTCTAGGCGCTAGGCACTGAGTCACCGCCCGCTTAGCGCCTAGCGCTTTCTTGAACACTGATAAAAATCTTCTTAGCTTCCACGTCACATTATCTCCCTCAGAAGTCCTAGCCGCTATGTCAAAATCAAGATTACGAAAGCTTTCAACTTTTCGTTCTCGAATCGATCAGTGTTTTTCAAATCGAAGATTAAAGATAAAGTAGAAGAAAAATTTGATTAGTGGTTGACTGCAACAACAATACCAACTGATCAATATGTACACCAAGTCTTTTGTTGTAAAGCTCGAGTACTTCTAGTGGAAATTCAATTACATTACTTCCATCCTCCACTTAGGTTAGTTTTAATGCATGAAATCCCTAATTAATCATCTGCTTTGTGTTTTTGGGGAGGGAAGATGCATTATAGTTAAGTCTTACGGTCTGCATACTCTTTGTGGATGTGGGGTTAATTTCAATTGGGGTAAACTGTAGTCACTTAGCTTTCTTAGCTGGACTTATGTTTCATTTTAGTATTTAGAGAAAAAGAATATTTTAGTTAGTTTATTTCACAAATGAAATCAGCAGAGGAGAGGTGAATGATGATATTTTAGACCTCTATCGTCTTAATAAAAAGCTATGGCTGAAACTAATAGACTTAAATTTCTATAGATAATTCAGCTCATTTTCTTTGTCCCCGATCATGAACCTAATTAGTCAAGATTATCTACAATCACCTCTCTCGATGTCACTTCTCGTAAATTATTGTTTTTAATTTTTAACTACTAAAATGTATTTAAATGAAATTATAACCGTTTAATTGAATCGCTGCAACATATGATTTATTTGACAAATCATTGTAACTTTTGGTTTTGTTTTATGAACTAATGTTATCTTTAGTTTATTTGACAACCGTTGCGAAATTTGGTATATGTGACGAACCGTTGCAATTTTTTATATATTTGATATCTACGATCGTGTCTCGCGGTTACAATTCTTCATAATTTACTAAAAAAATTAATCACTAAAATATATTCAACATAGTAACATTTGGTTTATTAGACGAACCAATGAACATTTTGGCTTATTTGACGAATCATTGTAATCTTTGGTTTATTTGATGAAACGTTGCAACATTTAGTATATTTGATGACATGTTGTAACGTTTAGTTTATTAAGTGAACTATTACAACTTTAGGTATGTTTGATAAGCCGTTGGAACATTTGCCCTTTAGAAAAAGATTTTTGTGAGCATTAACTAAAATTATATTTCTTCATTTTAGAGTTATATCTTTTCACCATGTTTTCTTCGTGTTTTTCATCACAAACTCTTCATTGAAATAATTGTATCTTTTAAAAATTTTTTTGTTTATTTAAACTTTCATGTCTTTTTAACTCTATATATATTATTATTTTTTATTTGATATTTTTTCATATAAAGCCCTTGGAAGGGCATTCATGTATATAATTTGTTATCTATATCAATATTTTTCCTTAAATAACAGTCAATTTTAGTTATTTGTTAAATTTTTTCCGAGGGTTGTCTCTCTTTAACATAACACAATTTAAAATGTTACGTCTTTTTATCATAATGTTTTGTTGAATATATTTATATAATTATATTTATAATTGTTTAAGAAATTAAAAAATTGCATATACTCATTATAAATTTTTGTTTAATATATTTTTACTTATGATTGCATCTTTTCGCCACAATATTTTTCTTATAATAATATTAATCTTAATAAATGCTTCTCAGGGTGAATATTAACACCCCGGTTTCAAGAATATGGTGATGCATGCGGAGAGGTTTAAAAGAATTGATTTGGCCACCTATGTCACCAAAGTGCACTTATTTTTTCTGTCAAACGTCTTGAAAGAACTCCACAATTAAGCGTGCTTGAGCTGGAGCAATTTCAAGATAGGTGACCTTCTGGGAAGTGATTGTCGGAATTGTGTGAGTGAGGACAAAACACAGGGAAAAATCATGTGGTGATTTGTAGGATCAGTAGACAAGTATTTAAAGCCTCCCCGACGTAGCGAACCGGCCGTCGGACAAGGGTGGGCCCATGGGTCCCGGAGAAGATGTGGGGCTCACTAATAGAGACGGTCGGGGCGTTACATTAAGTCTATTTATCATAATTTTTCGTAAAATATTTCTTGATTTATTGTTAAAATAATTTTTGCAAAGTTATTTTAGTTCATTATGATTTTTCGTATAATATTTTTTTCTTTAAAGATTTTAAGTCCACTAGAGAACGCCACCATTATGCGTGTTACCAATCAAAGCCTATGTTTGGTCGGTAATCCGTTAGAAAAATCTTCCTAGCATATATTTTTTCGGTAAGGGTCATTAGAGGAGATTTGTTGAGAAGTGACCATCATGCGACTGCCAAACGAACAACCCATATGCCAATAAAAGACAATGGATTCCAAAGAATTACTTTTTCCAACTCTATACAAACGTTTAGGTTTCGTCGGAAATCTACTGGACATAACCTTTTCCTACAGATTACACCGTGTGGATAGCCTATTTTCTTATAGTGCATGTCTTACAGTTTTAGATCAGTCTGTAACACCCGTCCCGCCACACATGACAGGACAAAATGTTACTCATCTGGTCTTGCCAAAACATTTCTTTCTATAAATTTCACCAACGAACAAACTTCAACCCACAATATAATTCACGAAACTTACTAACTTGGAAAAAGGGGAAAAAGGAGTGAGTAAAACAAGTTTACTCAGTGAGAAGATCAACTCTACCCACTGGACATACAGTAAACACGTTCCAAACATAAACAACAACCATTACTTAGCATAGATTCAGAATGACTATCAATCAAACAAACAAGCATTCGTCTTGCTCACAATAAGATATTTTACTTTCATTTTTAATTTGAAGTATTTTAACTTATGGCTACTCAATCCTCTTTTAACTCATGGTTACTCAAGCCTATTAACTTTGGCTACTCAAGCCTATTTATGGAAGACCACGGCCCGTACCTCGATCCTTCCCCTTATTGCTCGTCAGCGGTTAATGACCTGTATATGAACTCGTCGGTCCATTACAGTCCAACCTCCTCAAGTATCTTTCTCATACTCTTTAGCTTTCTCTTATAATTATTTTTATAATTTAATATACGTTACGTATGATATCAAATCATGTCACGAATGCATTTCACACATCATGTTACTAACAACCTAACTTCATGATACACACAAATTCACATAAATAAACAAAGACAATTCTCGAGCCTATACTCAGCAACTATCAAAGAGTATATAATGGAAGAGGTTACTGCATATCCGCATATACCATCCTCACCTTAGCTTAATTGAAGATGGAGAACAATTCCCTTCTCCTTTCTCCTTTAGACAAATTACTAGCCTGCCGCCAACCGCATACTATTGAACTCCACCTTAGCTATCCATCAACCAAGACATAATTAAGAGAGTCTTAAAGGATCCTGCAAAGTTTGGGCTCAAGCCAAGCTCATTTACCCAAGCCACAATACAAATTTCGTCACAATTTAGTCTATGTAAAACTGTCTTGGAAACATACACATAAATCAAATTCTAACCGTTAGAAATATAATCCCACCGTTGAATATGTTGCCAGTAGTATCATGAACGTCTCCACAAAGTTTCCTCCCAATTAGATTTCACATGAATCTTCCACGTTCTTCGGAAGGTTCTGCATCAGAACTGATTTCTGGATTCTGCAAATTGAGATGATTCTGGGCAAACTTTCAAGGTCAATTCCAGATGGAGATTTTACCTGATTGACAAGCCGTCAGTTACAATGATTTCCTTGCAGTGAGATATTTCCATTGACGCCTTAATAGAGATCTAAGTCCTTGTGGTCCATCGGGAAAACGCCTCACAAAACCATTAGTCACTCACTGTTCTAGATTTATACTTAGCCCAGATTCTGACAGCTTTTCAGCAGATTCTTGGCCAAAACGCAACGCTTATAAATTCTTGAGTCTAACTCCTATTAAAGCTTCGTCAGCGACTACAGATTCTTGAAAGCAAGATCTTTCTATTGACACCTTATTCGTGATATGAGACCCTTTGGTTCGACGGGAATCAATCTCACAAAACCCCAACTTGACAGTGTTCTTCTTTTCTCTTCTTCTTCTTTCTTCCTTCTTCTTCGCTTCTCATTTGCTTCGCCTCG